GTATTGAGGATGTAGTGAGCGAACCCCTGGAGAATTGAGGATGTAGTGAGCGTAACACCTGGAGTATTGGGGATGTAGTGAGTGTACCCCTGGAGTATTGAGGATGTAGTGAGCGTACCCATGGAGTATTGGGGATGTAGTGAGCGTAACCCCTGGAGTATTGAGGATGAAGTGAGCGTACCCCTGGAGTATTGGGGAAGTAGTGAGCGTACCCCTGTAGTATTGGGGATGTAGTGAGCGTACCCCTGGAGTATTGAGGATGTAGTGAGCGTAACCCCTGGAGTATTGGGGATATAGTGAGCGTACCCCTGGAGTATTGAGGATGTAGTGAGCGTACCCCTGGAGTATTGGGGATGTAGTGAGCGTAACCCCTGGAGTATTGAGGTGTAGTGAGCGTAACCCCTGGAGTATTGAGGTGTAGTGAGCGTACCCCTGGAGTATTGAGGATGTAGTGAGCGTACCCGAGTATTGAGGATGTAGTGAGCGTACCCCTGTAGTATTGGGGATGTAGTGAGCGTAACCCCTGGAGTATTGAGGATAAAGTGAGCGTACCCCTGGAGTATTGGGGAAGTAGTGAGCGTACCCCTGTAGTATTGGGGATGTAGTGAGCGTAACCCCTGGAGTATTGAGGATAAAGTGAGCGTACCCCCGGAGTATTGGGGAAGTAGTGAGCGTACCCCTGTAGTATTGGAGATGTAGTGAGCGTAACCCCTGGAGTGTTGAGGATGTAGTGAGCGTACCCCTGGAGTATTGGGGATGTAGTGAGCGTAACCCCTGGAGTATTGGGGATGTAGTGAGCTTAACCCCTGGAGTATTGATTATGTAGTGAGCGTACCCCTGGAGTAATGAGGATGTAGTGAGCGTACCCCTGGAGTATTGATGATGTAGTGAGCGTACCCCTGGAGTAATGAGGATGTAGTGAGCATACCCCTGGAGTATTGGGGATGTAGTGAGCGTACCCCTGGAGTATTGGGGATGTAGTGAGCGTACCCCTGGAGTATCGGGGATGTAGTGAGCGTACCCCTAGAGTATTGGGGAT